CCCTGTGAGTGCCGGCAATAATTCATTCGCCATGATAATGGTCAAGAGAAGTCAAACAATCAGTGGGAAATGGGACGGTGCGCAACATGTAGGTCCATCGACCACGAAGGCCGTGGTTGATAGCTGAATAGGCGGCATGCAGTTGTGTAAGCGCAAAGACAGTGAGGCGTCGCAACTTAGTAATCCATTTTCAACTGTTTCCCGCACACTGCTTGCAATTGCATCAATCTCACCAATTTGCGAACCCAAGTATTTCAAAGCACAAGTAACTTTTCGTATGCCGCTATCATGGAAAATGCGAGACGCTTCATCAACCATGCAAGGCTTTACGAGAATCAGAGTCTTCTTCGTATAATTACTAGAATAGGCATACACGCGCAACTTCCTAAGCTGGTTGTGTTTCACAACACCGTATAGCCGGTTTTAACGCTGGCGTGCGAAACTTACTCTACTGGTTTTTACATTTTTTAAACACTTGTTATGTTTCTTCACGCTTGCACCTTTTTCACATTCTTTCTGTGTGTCAGGGTCAGACAATCGTCATTGTTGTTTTCTGCTATTCTTCGTTGCGCTGTTTCATAATTTTCTTTCATGTCCAACACAAAATTTAATGTCAAAATGTCGCATGTCATTGGTTATAGCACCTACACCTCAACTGCTACTAAATACCATCACGTGACTATGTGCTGGCAATCACAGCACCAACGACTTGGCAATCTTCGCACTAACATCATCACCTACAGTAGGTAAGGAGTAAGAAGGTATGCTCACACCTAACACGCAGTGGATCCATTGTTATTAGCCAATACATGTACCTGTATGTCTGTTTTATTTACTACTATAAGTACAACATACACCACCACCACCACGAGCAACAACAACAAAAACCACGCCTGAATTAGCTCATATCACAAGCTAGAAGACGAGACTGGTATTGGTTTCATGAACCACAGAGGAGCAGAGGAACGTCTTTGCTGTCTGTTGCCTTGCCTGTCACTGTGCGTATGGTATCAATGTCCAATGGCGTCGTCATGCGGAGTAAATTCCACGTGTCCATTATTCTAAGAAGTGAGATACGGTGTAGGTAGAAGTAGAGGAGTATTTGGCACACCATAATAATGATGGAGATAACGACAGAGAGCTATGAAGGAATTAAAAGGTGAGTCAAGGTAAATGACCAAACGAGTATATCATGTACTGGTGCTTTCAGATTGTTGCTATCATGTACTGGTGCTTTCAGATTGTTGATATCATGTACTGGTGCTTTCAGATTGTTGATATCATGTACTGGTGCTTTCAGATTGTTGATATCATGTACTGGTGCTTTCAGATTGTTGATATCATGTACTGGTGCTTTCAGATTGTTGATATCATGTACTGGTGCTTTCAGATTGTTGATATCATGTACTGGTGCTTTCAGATTGTTGATATCATGTACTGGTGCTTTCAGATTGTTGATATCATGTACTGGTGCTTTCAGATTGTTGATATCATGTACTGGTGCTTTCAGATTGTTGATATCATGTACTGGTGCTTTCAGATTGTTGATATCATGTACTGGTGCTTTCAGATTGTTGATATCATGTACTGGTGCTTTCAGATTGTTGATATCATGTACTGGTGCTTTCAGATTGTTGATATCATGTACTGGTGCTTTCAGATTGTTGATATCATGTAGCAATCGCCTACTCGTACACGTATGATAACCTGTAATGGTCCAGCCAGTTACTCTGAACTTTGCTGATATGACCACGTGACCTAACAAGGTGGAAACAGCCAGATGTAGATGTCCAGAGACTGCAATCCTGTACTGGTGTTTTCAGACTTGTTGTTATCGTAGCAACTGTATGCCATGGATGTAAAATACTGGCCACGCTGAAGGCCGAAAACTAGGAGTAAGCGGATTATGCTCGGGAAATGACCAGATTATGCTCTAGCGGATGCTCGCAGGATGCTCGAGAAAACAGCCAATTAAGCCTTTGTATGCTTCACACCAAAAAGACCAAAAGAATAGATAATCGTCATGAAAAAAGGACTCAGACCATTGTAATGATGTGGACTGGGAGATTTGTGGAAGTACAAGACAATAATATTATGCAAGAGGAATGCCAAATTTAGAAGCAAACGCTGAACTTTTGGGAGATGTCCTATAGTGGCTGCTAAAATAGTATTCCAAATCGCCAATAAGTGCCATGTATGGTCCTTCAATAGCAAGTGTGTATAATTATAAAGCCTCACTGCCCTTGTTTTTCCGATGCCATTCATGATGCTCCGTCTCAAAAATTACCTGATTATGCCAACAACTATGCATTCAATTATGCCTTCAATAGAAGATGTGTATAACAGCCTCGTTGGGCGTCTGCCTTTGTTTTTCGGATGCCATTTTATGCTCCTTCTCAAAAAGGTCCTGATTATGCCAAAAACTATTCCAGCATATTCCGCTTACCCCTACCGAAAGCCAACTGACCAAGTCAGAAGTACCTGGGCAAACGCCACATGTTCGACATTCTCAACTCGCGCTCCGTAATTCCTTCGTTCTTCCTGTTTATATCGGTGTTAGTCGTCCCTAAATCCCCTTTGTTTAGTCCTTTTCCTCGTTTCTTTTTGTTCTCCACCTGTTTTCCAGTAGGGCTGTGTTAATAGTAAAAGAAAATAGAAAAAAAGACAGTGGCTAGTACACTAGTCGTAGAGTGCGGACTGTCGGATTCGAGGCAGCATGAGAGTTAAAAACCCGTGCATCAATTGAGTGTGCACCCGAAACCACTGCCCAAGCGACAATCGTCTGATGCTGATATCTATACATGCCTTGTCCTCGGTGATTGCCATTCAATGGAGAATCCCTCTCCATTCGATGGTTTGTAAACTTTGCTGTCGTGACCACAGTACAACATAGACGTGCTGATGGCAGCCGCTGTGTTCCACCAAGAGTACATGGGGGGTTATGTACTCTTGGTTCCACCAAGTGTGTGGCAAGGCGTTCAACACCAGCCATGCTCTTTCGTGCCCAACTGGTGGGTACCCGGCTCTCCGCCATAACACGATCCGCGACCTGACAGCCGACCTACTGCGTGAAGCGGCAACGGATGTGAAGATAGAACCTCCTCTGCAGCCCCTGGGGGGTGAAAGGCTCCGGTATCGTTCTGCCATCTTGGAAGATGGTGCTCGTCTTGATGTGGCGGCATCTGGTGTCTGGGGAAGTCGTTTTGAGCGCACGTTCTGTGATGTTCGGGTTTTCAACCCTCATGCGCGCTCGAACACTTCCACAACTCCCGCGTCCACCTATGCCAAGCACGAACAGCAGAAGAGAAGGGCCTACGAAGAACGCGTCAGGGAGGTGGAGCATGCTTCCTTTCTCCCACTGGTATTCAGTGCATCTGGTGGGTGCGGCAAGGTAGCCCACGCTTTCCTGAAGCGTCTTGGCCATATGGTTTCGGAGAAGCGGCATGAACCCTACTCCTCCGTCATGTCCTGGATCCGCTCTCTTGTCTCCTTTGCTTTGGTTCGATCCTGCAACATGAGCCTCCGTGGTCACCGTGCTTCTCCCTACAGCAGTCGTTTGGATGCTGCCACTCCTGTTGTGCTGGCAGTCAATGACTGTCAGTTGCGTGACTGAGACTCTTTCGGAGTAGCCGTGTCTAGCCACACTTTTATTATCCGATGATCTTGTTTTGTTTGCTATGATTCCGTTATTTTCTGTTGGTTGCTTTTCTGCTGCTTTTCGACCGCACTAAAAAGGTTTTTTCCTGCAAAATCCACATATCTCCAGACACCCGGGGCGGGCGAATAATGGAGTGTGGCGGTGGGGCCAGATCAGAGGCCTCGGCTTCATATCTCCATGGCCATAATATTATGGACGCACCAAAGCCAAAGGAGATCGGGTAAAAACTGAAAAGGTCCGTAAAACTTAAAAAAAGCCCGTCTACTTAGTATAGTCATTCGTAGTACTGACGTAACGCTTGTGCACTCTTGCTAGTACTACGTCCATTCCATATACTAAGTGTGCACTCTTTTCCATCCAGTCAAAGGGCCATTGTGTATGCCCCATGGATTCTACATGTAGGCCAGCGCCAGCCTGACATGGGAATATCCCACGTGGATGCGTTGAGATGATCAATAAGGTTCATGACTTCTTCAAAGACAAAGCAGCGGCGCAAGAAAATGCACGGAAATCAGGCAGCAAAGCGAGCAAAAAAAATCAATTTTCCATTTTCTCTCTCAAATTTGGACAGATTTTGATCCGGTTTCTTTTAAAAGAGCAGCAAGCAAGCGTGCATTGACTCAGAAAAACATTGCCTTGTATTTGTACACAGTCGTATGATGGGAGCATGTAATAACAGTGCACACTTATACGGAATGGACTGTAGTAGTAGTAGGAATTTCGCAAGCAGCAATGCATGCCAATGCTGGCAATGGAGAACATAGAGATCATGCACACAAACGTCAAACGGTGTAGGTTAATCACGTGCAACATCTCGCACTCCAAGTCGACTACCATGTATCACAGTACCAGGTAGTCTGCGTGCACACATCCAGCATCTACTTGGTCCCGGTGCCCATGCTAGCTAGGTCCAGCCGGCGACCACCCGATCGAGTGAGTCAGCTTTGCGGCCTGGGTGAGTGAAAACCCCAGGATTCGCAAGGCTGCATCATTGCACGCACGGCGCAAAGTCATGTAGATCTACATTGTACTTCACGCATGTACTTCACGCGCGCGATCCGACGTCATTTTAGCAGCTACAATGATGTATTGTTGTAGCTCTGCGCATCGACCAGGGAGTCGTCAAAATACCAGTTTTTGACGCCTGACATCTATCGACCCGTCCGATTCTCCAGCCTCTGAGTCAAGCGCAATATCCAAGAAACCGGCTTGACTGCGACTTACTACCTTAACAGATGTTCGTATCCTACAAGACAGTGCAGTAGTGAGTTGACAAAAATGTCAAAGGGCTGTCAACATGGTCAACCAACGACCACGTCGTCCTTGTGCGATAGTCAGGTTTACGACGGGAGTGCGGCCCCCGGCGCCAAGAGCACATCACTGACTGGAGCGGAGAGGTCGGAACACCACGGAGAGGCGCGCGCACCGCGTACAGTCCTTGGCTTGGATCTACGGACAGGCAGTCCGTGCAGCGCTTTGCGGACAAGCCAATGATAATAGTCAGCGAGTCTGAGAACGGCACAGATCATTCACCTGACGGTTGAGCCACTGTGGACAGACAGTAGACATGGCTAGATAGTGGACTAGTATAAAGATCTACTGGCTGGAGTCCAGCCCTTTGTCTTTTCTAGATCAACTGGCTGTGTCAGTGAAAGAAATTTCTTACAGCGAAAATTGTGTTATCGACTGAGTTATTCTTTGGCCTAGAGGTGGAAAGTCTTGCAGTTTGCTAAGTGGAGATGGTAGCGGTGCTTGCTGAGTGAGAGTCCACGCTACGTATGGTGCCATTGGTGGTGAGTACTTTGCCGCTGTGTTTCTGTGTGTGTGTGTGTGTGTGTGTGTGTGTGTGTGTGTGTGTGTGTGTACATGGTGTGTGTGTGTGTGTGTGTGTGTGTGTGTGTGTGTGTGTGTGTGTGTGTGTGTGTGTGTGTGTGTGTGCGCGTGTGTGTGTGGTATCTTGTGTATAATACGACAGCGTCTATACATGACGTCCTCGGTTGTAAACACACATTGGCAACCGAACACTTGATCCAATCATGGGCTGACCGTCCGGATCGGTTCCTCCATCACTGTGTGTGTGTGTGTGTGTGTGTGCGCGCGCGCGCGCGTGTGTGTGTACAATTTCACTTCGAACTACCAGTGCGTCTAGTCTCTGCCTCTATCAAAGCAGTGTGCTGTATACTGGCTACCCCAGCAAGTGTAGGGTGTGCATAGTAACATGTAACTATCCTGGCCGTCCTATTCCGATGTGCTCCATGTGGTGTAGACCAGGTGTACATTGGGGGTCGATTCACATGGCTTCGTCAGTCGTGTGGATTAGACAGTTATCTGGTGCTAGACTTGATCGGTTTTATTCAGATTTGGTGCAGTATAGTTGCGATAAAAGAACATGTGTGTGTGTGTGTGTGCACAACCAGTGCATTTGCAGATCTGCATGACTCTATTGCGACGGGCGTGTACACATACATGTACATACGTACATACATGTACATGTATGTACAAAGTCATGGTGTGTATGTGTGTGTGTGTGTGTGTGTGTGTGTGTGTGTGTGTGTGTGTGTGTGTGTGTGTGTGTGTGTGCGTGGGTTCGCGCGCGCGTCTGTTTGTGTCCACGTATGTACACATATTTGGGTGCACATCCAGTGCATGTGCACATTTGCTTGGTTCTCTTGTGACGGGCGTATACATGGTACATGGTACATGGTTGTGATTGTAGGGAGAGGATGTTGCCTTGCAAAGTAAAATAAAAATCAACAACAACGACAACAACAACAACAACAACAACATGAACAACAACAACAAGAACAACATGAACAACAACAACAACAAGAACAACATGAGGGGATATGTACAATGTGTGTACATGTACTACGTGTAGTGTACCAGTACGCATACATGTAGAAGTGCAGTGGTGGGCAGTGGTGCAATGGTGCAGTGGTGCAGTGGTGGGCAGTGGTGCAGTGGTGGGCAGTGGTGCAGTGGTGGGCAGAGAAATCAAACTTCATGAATAAATAAAGTAGCGCCGCATTCCAGTGCACAGACCAGTATGTGTAGTGATAGGTCTGCGTAGCGCCCGGCGCTATTTTATTCATGAGGTTGGATTTCGTTGGATTTCATTGGATTTCATTGGAATTCATTGGATTTCATTGGATTTCATTGGATTTCATTGGATTTCGTTGGATTTCATTGGATTTGGTTGGATTTCATTGGATTTCTTTAGCCAGTACTGTACAAGCATGCAGTGAAGCACCGTCGGCGTCTCAGCGATGCATGAAAATTGTTGAAAATTATTAAAAGTAAGGTTGTACTCTAACCCGGTTACATCCCAGTACAACAGTGTCCACAGGGTACTGACTATGCAATGTGCTGTACTGAATGGAAGTGATGTCATCCGATTGTGTTCACCAGGCTTGTGAAGATGATACGAGGGACACGCGAGTACATGTGACTCATTCATTTATTGATATAGTGAAATAGAGTATGACAGTGGTTGGGTAGATGCTGCTGTCGGATGATCGCTGAAATGTGTGAAACTTAAAGCTACAGGTGCACAGCCTTTCGCCTCTGTCGTCGGGCGGAATTACTGGTCAGTCGGCGACACGCATTTTTCACAAAAATTTGCGTTTCACCTGCTGGGAGAGTATGGGTGTACTCGAGTCTCATCCTGAGCACGTTTTTTTCTTTCTCTTTTTCAGCTCCAGTATAGCTGTATTTTTCATTGCAAAGCCCTTCTCGATTGATGTGTTCGTTGTTCAAACGAAGTGGACATTCAATCATGAAGGCAGAGGACATAGGAGCCTGATTGGAGTTTCTCGTGGCATAGGACGGCCACACAGAGACACTTTGGGATTTTCTGAACATAAAATACCGTACGCACGATGCTGAGATCAATTTGTGCGATATCAAATTGTTTGTGATCTACCACATCGAGCAGAACGGGATCCAAACACAAGCTTACCGACGGTTAGGCTGCGACCTGACTGGACAAACGATCCCTGGCTTCACCAGACGCCAGAAGTCGGACACCATGTCCTTTGCCGCGACGTCCATCTCCAAAAAGAACTCCATCTTTGTCGTGAAAAGGATTGAAATACTCAATATTCAACCGAGATTCGCGGTCTCACCCTTTCTCAGATCGAATCATTTTTTGTTGTAGCAGTTGCAGGGCAGATCCCCGCCACTACTTCAACAGAAGATGGCTCCAAAGCATGCCTGGAACAAGCCATATCGAGGTTGCAAGCCACCCCTCTCAGCACTTTTTTTGAAGAAATTCGAAATTTCAATGGTGGAAGATATACTATGAAGAGAATTTCAAAAAGTATATTTCGCGGAGCGATCGCTCAACCTACGTCATTCAAACTTTGCAGGATGGTTCAGACGTACATGCTAGGCATGGAACCACAGAAGATGATATCATAGCTGACACACAGAGTCACACACACAGCAGATTCGTGTGCACAGATACTAAATTAGTGGGCGTCGTCATCTTCTTCCCGCTGATCTCAAATATACTAAGACGTGCTATTTCGCATGACGTTGTGTGTGCATTGACCTTTGATAAATACCCACACTTATTAGTGACCACACCATCAACAGTATCAAATTCAAATCAATTTGCTTTGACTCAATAAATACCACTACACCGTTTTCTATTCAGCACTGCACTTTTCCCTAGAAATGAGTATTTTATAAACAGTATTTATTGGCCTTTTATAGTGGTACTATATGAACAGTATTTATTGGCTTTTGAGGCAATAAATACTGTTCATAAAATACCTATTTTTAGCGAAAGTGCAGGTCTACATATGTATAATAATTATTAAATGCAGTAGCCTCAGGATTAATTGCAATTACATACCAGTTATAAAACCTTGGCTTCGCCTTGGTGTTAGACTGTTGTCTAGCTTCTGTGGCATCCTCCCTGTTCTTCTCGCAATTGCAATACTGCGACCGGTCAAGTCGTTGAGTGATGCTTTGTCAGAACAATCCTACCTGCGGTGAATCACCTTTGCGTTCTGACAGCGCGACATCGTGATACTGCAGAAATTAAATGATTTGAAAACCCGACTGATAGTTTCTATGGCATTACCACATGAACAGAGAACTGCTACAAAGATGTCTCATTTATCGAATGAAAGGAAATCTTTGGCGATCTTCATTTCTCAACTCCAAAAACAATCTCGACAGAAGTTTTCTTTGATGCAAGATAATGACAATCCCTTTTGCAAAGCCTCCTGGTAAGACAGTTTGTAGGCATTACAGTCGTTCTCGTACGCATTCAACCATTCATGACTGTTTCGTACAACTTTATTGTCGTGAAAAGGACGAAAATAGCATGGACCCGCTAGGGTGGGCATTTGCTGTGAAGTTGGCGTTTGCAGTGGACTTTTTGTACTGCAAAGCACTCTAGTCTGTGTGTGCGTTCGTGCATGCGTACGTGTGTGTGTGCATTCGTGTGTGTGTGCATTTGTGTGTGTGTGTGTGTGTGTGTGTGTGTGTGTGTGTGCATTTGTGTGTGTGTGTGTGTGTGTGTGTGTGTGTGTGTGTGTGTGTGTGTGTGTGTTTGTGTCAGGTTTGATAATGAATGGCCACTACTTTATTGAATCACATAGGCGAGAACAAAAAAAATAGAGATCCCGGGCCCTCTCGCACCAAAATCGAGCCAAAGGCAATTTTTTTCTTTCGAACAGTTCATATACATGTACAGTACTGATTGTGCGAGTAGATCTGCGACGTGGAGTCACACAAACCCGGGCTTGTACGACTCCCTTATGTACAGATCAGGGCCATTGTTTGCCGAAATACAGAACAATTGAACGGGTAAACCGCGTACCTGTTGTCTGTAGAAAAATTGAATAAAAGTTATCGGCGGATAAAACTGTAAAAAAATTTCAGCATTGGCATGCATACAATCATACAATCATAATCATGTATGTAGGAAAATAACTGTAAAAAAAAGTTCAGCATTGGCATGCATACAATCATGTACGTAGGAAAAAAACTGCAAAAAAAAGTTCGGCATTG